AGTTTACGGCGGCTCCGTGGGCCGGGCCTGCGGCACACCGGCGGGCCCGGCCCGGGCCGAGTCGGGGCAGGCTGGACCGGGCCGCGGGTGGGGACCTCAGCCGTCCGCGAGCGCGGCGCTGGGCAGGCCAGGGCAGGGCCGCGGGAGCCCGGGCAGGTCCTGTGGCTGCGTCCCGGGCCGGCCTCGAGCACCGAGGTGGAAGTTGGAGCGCTTTCTGGGGACCACCGCCCCCTGCGGCCCCGGAGCGCGAGTGGGCGCCGCGGCCAGGGCAGGCCCGCAGGCCCGCCACTGGGCTGGGAGGGGACGGTGCGGGGCCACCGAGGCCGCGACACGGGCCTCCTCGGCCTCCCTCTGCTCAGGGCCTCACCAGGGTCATTTCTTCTCCCCTCGATGCTTCCCCTTGCTTCCTGGACAGTTCTGGGCCTGGCGTGCCGAGGCCGCCCGGTGGTGGGCAGGTTGTTTGCGGGAAGGGCGAGTGTAGACTCCATGGAAGGCGCTCTGCCCCTAGAGCCCCCAGGTGCAACCCTGGAAGGGGACTAGAGGGGTTCTGAGGGGCTGCTTAGAGCCGGGAGCTGTCTTTGGCTCATCTGTGGGGTGCAGGGGCCACGCCCCTTGAAAGAAAGGGGGATGGGGGAAATGGGACAGGACCAGTCTCTGCCCCACACCTAGGCTCCTGCCCCTGGCTCTGTCCCCTGGTGCTGCTTACTGCCTCCCCAGAGGTGCTGCGGATCTCCAGTCCTGAGGGGTGGTATGGTATTTGCTTCTCTAGCCCTCTGGGAGTACCCCCATTCCCCCTGTCTCCTTGGTTGTTGGGGGTATGCAGGAGGGGGTGGTACTGTACCAGGCTGGCCAAGAGTCTGCTGACCTGGAGGGATCACCCAGCTGGTGGTGCCCTAGGCAGAGGTGCAGAGCAAGTATTCGGATTCAGGGCCAGGCTGTCAGAGAGTGGGGAGGTGGCACCTTGGGGCCCACCAGAAGTGTTTCCAACAGAGGGGACAACATGGTCAGAGGCTTGGGTGTCTGTACTAGGTTGTCAAATCCTTGTGTGACTGAGGTATTTGTTCTTGGGATGGAGGCCAAACAAAGCCATATCCCTTGTAGCAGTTGGCCAGGAGCAGGGGACCCCAGGGAAGGCCTTGAACAGGTACCCTTTCTGAGGAGCAGGACTCCAGTGTGGCTAGGTTTCATAGACCCAGAGGTCTGGTGGAGAACAGCTGCTGGGGACCACCTCCTGTGACCTCCCACAGGGTGGGGCAGGGTGACCAGGAGAACCCTCTTGGACTACTGATGTCAAGAAGCCCAGCCTTTTGACACCCAGAAGGACCCAGAGCAGCAGGGCATGTGGAGCTAGCTGTCCCTGTGTGAGGGCTCTGAGGCCTTTGTTTCTGACTAGAAGCCATGGTGTTATCTAGGGCTGAGAGAGGGAAGGGACCCAGGCTCTGTGGAATGCACTCCACTGGAGACTGGTCCTAGAGTGGAGCCTCCTGGGCTGAGGCCCCACCTGCCAGTGCCTGGCCTCTCTTCCCAGGTTCCTGCTGCACACACCCAACACCAGCATGGATTTCCTCTTCTGATCCTCACTTGTCCATGCTAGGGAGCTGCAGTCATTTGTACTGCCCCATCTGCGTGTCCAGCAGGTGTGTATTCCACCCTCCAGCCCAGTGGGCCTGGTTTTTTCCAAAGCAAGTGAAAAAGCTCCACCCCCACCCCTCTATCCCACCCCCAGGAACCTCTACAGGCCATAGTAGCCAAGCAGCTCACAAAGCCCAGTGCTGTCTGTTCCTCACCTCCAGCATGGCCCAGCATTCAGGCCCTGATTTGCAGGAACACATTATTCCCTCCCTGAGCAAACCTTGGGCTGCGTCCTCAGCAGATTCCCCTCCTGCCTAGGGTCTCCACAGAGGCTGGATCTGTGACCTTGGCTCTCTCTGAGTCTGGAGAAAGTGACCTAGGCATCCTTGCTAGTCTTTGTAAGATAGTAGGTGTGAGGGACCCAGCTGTGGGTTTGGGATCCCTCTCTTTCCTGGCCAGCAGTCCCTTGCCCCCCAGGCCAATTCCTTCCTGGCAGTTTCTGGGAGGCTGGGAGTGGGCCCAGGGCCAGGCTGGAGTTTGGATGATGGCTTCTTCAGCCCGGTCCCTCCTGTTTAATATAAAAAGTAGGACCCGTGCATTAAGATGTGTATAATTATCCCGGAGGAGGGGAGAGCCCAGCCCCTCGTAATTGCAGGCCTGCTTTGAACTGATAAACGGTGAGTGATTCATGTTTTCTTTGGAGTTCACATGGACTCAGCTTTCACCCCAGGCTGGCTGTGCCTGCAAGCAACCTGCTGCCTAGCTTTTAACTTCTTTTTCTCTTATCGTTTTAAGTTTTGGGGTTTTTTTTTGGGGGGGGGGGGGGGCTCCCCTCCCAGCTGCCTGCAGAGGACTCTCGTGTCTGCTGGTTTCGGGGCAAGAGGTCACTGAGAGCCTGCTGAGATATTCCTGCAAGGTGATAATACCCTGCTTCTGCTCTGGGATTCAGGCCAACACTCCTTGCTTCCCTGAGCCTCAGTTTCCCCACCCAGATGCACACTGGAGATTGCTCTGCCCAGGCCTAGATAGCCACTCCCTTGTGCCCACTTGCTTGTTCACTCAGTCACAAGTGTTTACTGAGCCTGCCTAGGCCCCAGCGTGACTCTGGGGAGACACTTGTAACCACAGAGCCAAGTCCTGTTTGCACCCAGCCACTGTTCTGGGAGAGCATTTGGGCAATGAGTAGCTAGAGCCATTGGCTGGGCCTGTGCCACAGGCTCAGCTGAACAGGTGTGAGGGCAGGGCAGGGCAGGGAGCTTTGTGTGCTAGAAGAAGATGTGGAGGCTTAAGGGCTGACCACCTGTGGCCAGCTCCCCGCTTGGACTTGGAGAAGACATTTATCTCTGGGTCTCAGTGTCCCCAACTGCAAATGGGGCTTCCAGGCTGTAGGGGAGGACAATATGTGGGAGCAAGGGGAAGTGGTATAACTGACTGCCTGCCCACTCTCCATACTCAGCACTGCCCTAGTCAGGCATCAGCCAGGGAATGGGATAAGAGGCCCCCAGCCCAGGGGCAGGCTCTGTGGCCCTGCTGTCCTCAAGAGTGTAGTGCTTGCCAGTACCTGTCAATCAGGACATAACCTTCACTGTTTTGCCCATTGGAAAAGAAGTGTTACCATTCCTTCAGCAGCTGGGGAAGCTGAGGAAAAGGAAATGTCCCCGTTAGGGCTGTAGCAATAGGACGATGTAGTCCACACTTGAGCCTGCACTGCTGGGGTGAAGGATATGGCACTTTCCAGAAGCACTGAGCTGAACTTGAGGTGTTGTGCCAAGATTTAGAGGGTAGTGCAGATCAGAAAGTGTCCCAAACTGCTACGTGGAGTTCTAGCCGTGGGTGGATGTGGTAGAATGTCATGGCCATCCAGATGGAGGATCCGGCAGTTTAAAGATTTAGGAATGAAAGTAAAGTGGGGAATGTCCTGGGAGATGCTGTGGCCTGGTGTGGTGTGAGTAGTATGTTGCAGCAGGTGGGTAGAGAGACCTGGGCTAGATACATAATAGGTGAGGCATGGGGACAGGACGGAGGTGCCAAGACTAGGGAGAGGACACTGCCAAGGACTGGGATTTGGGGAGCTCTGTCTTCTGTGGGAGGAGTCCTCTTTGGTTAGAGTTGAGTGTGAGGCCAGGGTATAGAGGGACAGGGTTTGGAGGGAAAGCTGGGAGGCTGGAGAGCATAGCAGGGGTCCTTATGGGAATTGCCCTCTTGCTGGGAATGTGGCGATGTGAGTGGGAGCCACACATGTCCTGGCTACTGGATCCTTCTGTGGAATATAGACCGTGAGGTTAGTAAGATACTGGGCCAAGGTTAGCCAATGAGCAACACTAGTCAGGATTCCATAGAGACTGCCTCTGGCCCAAGCTGAAAAGGACTGTCATGTGGCCTTGCGACTGTGGGGGACTCTTTGGTGGCTCTTGAGTGTCAGGAGCACTCAGCATGTTGGAAAGTGCTCAAGTGATAGAATAGGACATGGTTACCCTGAGCCAGCTTGGTGCCAGGGGTCACCAAGGGAGCTAGTTCTCTGTTAGGGTATAGAGGATAGTGGTTGGGAGTCACCAAGGCAGCCAGTTCTCTGTTAGGGTATGGAGGAGGTGTGTATGCTATGGTCTGTCTCTGTCCAGTCTTGGTGAGGTGACACAGAGATACAGCAAATATGCCTCCCGTTTGGAAATATGTTACCCCTCAGGACAGGCTCTGACTCGGATGCAGACTTCAGGCCCTTGAAACTTATGTTATGTTCCTGAGTCCATTCTTCTGCCAGGAGTGTCAGGGCACAGGCTCCAGCAGGCACCCTGCTGCCAGGCGGGTATTCTATGCTGCTGCTGCTACTGGCCACCATGTGTTCTTTGTGACACTTGACTCTCTCCTGCCGCAGGCCCATAGATGGGGAAGTGTTCTCTTTGCCTCCGATCATCCTGGTGCATGGAGGGGTCTTGCTTCTCAAAGTACCTGCATAGCACAAGTACACGTTGAGAGCTCATGAGATGAATTGGATGCACATGAGTGCTGTGTGCTTGTGTGAACAGCACCACATTCATACTCTCTTCTGCTGTTCTCTCTAGGGTTGAGGAACCCAGACCCATGATGCGCGCACCTGCAGGACCCGAGTACATTGGCCTGAGGCCAAGGTCCACCATGCCTCTGCCACCCCTCAGCCTGTGGACACTGCCAATGCTGTTGTTGCTGCTGCTGGGGGGTGTATGGGTGGCTATAGGCTCACCCTCGACTGGCAGGGGTCCACAACCTGCCTTCCGCACCTTTGTGACTGGTGACTGGAGCCTCACACACTTGGTGGTCCATGAGCAAACAGGTGAGGTGTACGTGGGCGCAGTGAACCGCATCTACAAGCTGTCGGGCAACCTGACACTGCTTCGGGCCCATGTGACGGGCCCTGTGGAAGACAATGAGAAATGCTACCCACCCCCCAGCGTACAGTCATGCCCGCATGGTCTGGGCAGCACTGATAATGTCAACAAACTTCTGCTGTTGGACTATGCCGCCAACCGCCTGCTGGCCTGTGGCAGCGCCTCACAGGGCATCTGCCAGTTCCTGAGGCTGGATGACCTCTTCAAGCTGGGAGAGCCACACCACCGCAAGGAGCACTACCTGTCCAGTGTTCGTGAAGCTGGCAGCATGGCAGGTGTGCTCATTGCTGGGCCGCCTGGCCAGGGCCAGGCCAAGCTCTTTGTGGGCACACCCATCGATGGCAAATCTGAGTACTTTCCCACACTGTCCAGTCGCCGACTCATGGCTAATGAGGAGGACGCCGACATGTTTGGCTTTGTGTACCAGGATGAGTTTGTGTCATCACAGCTCAAGATCCCGTCGGATACGTTGTCCAAGTTCCCAGCCTTTGACATCTACTATGTGTACAGCTTTCGCAGCGAGCAGTTTGTCTACTACCTCACCCTGCAGCTGGATACACAGCTCACCTCACCTGATGCTGCTGGTGAGCACTTCTTTACCTCCAAGATCGTGCGGCTGTGTGTGGATGACCCCAAGTTCTACTCATACGTTGAGTTCCCCATCGGCTGCCAGCAAGGTGGAGTGGAGTACCGCTTGGTGCAGGATGCCTACCTGAGCCGGCCAGGCCGTGCCCTGGCCAACCAACTGGGCCTGGCCAAGGACGAGGATGTGTTGTTCACCGTTTTTGCACAGGGCCAGAAGAACCGTGTGAAGCCACCCAAGGAGTCAGCACTGTGCCTGTTCACGCTGCGTGCTATCAAGGAAAAGATCAAGGAGCGCATCCAGTCATGCTACCGTGGTGAGGGCAAGCTCTCGCTGCCCTGGCTGCTCAACAAGGAGCTAGGCTGCATCAACTCGGTGAGCAGGGCTCCCACCAACCCTCCTGGTGTGACATTTTGGCCACACCTGGGCGGCTCTGCTGTGTGCCTGGCCTGATTCCTGCTTAGCCCTGAGAGGCAGGGTCTGAACCCAGCATACCAGCCCCAAAGTTTGTGCCTGTCTATGGCATCTTCCTATGCCTTAGGAGGTGGTGGATGGCACCTGCCCACACAGCCCACAAACAACCCTTGGGGACATTGGATAGCATACTGCCACGTGCCTGGTAGTGCTGGGTGCTGACCGTCTTTGTTTCAGTCCCCTTTTGCAGACCAGGTTGTGGAGGCTAAGAGGTAAATTGACTTCACCAGGGTCACAAAGCCATTAAAAAGTGGAGTGAGATAGTCAGGAGCCTTGTCTGTGGAGCCTTGTCTCTTCCACATTCCCCTGGCAGCCTACCTCCCTACTGGAACCCTGCCATGTCCAGTGCTGAGAACTGAAAGCACCCTCAGGTGCCTGCCTAGAGATTGGTCCTGACTTAGGACAGCCCAGCTTCCATGTGCTGGATGCTCAGCTGCCACAGTGAACCCTGATCCTAGGGTCAACTGTTCCTCCAGAAGCAGCTTGTCTGCTCCCATGAGTAGGAACCAGGGTTTCACCAGGGACATCCTCAGGCTCAGACTATGGGACATGGTTGGCTGAGTAAGAATACAGTGCATCACCCAGATGTGCCCTCAGGCCTCTGCTCTGCTGCTGCTCTGGCCTGCTGGGTGGCCCAGGGGAGCCCATCCCCTCTGGCTGCAGAAGTGGCTCTGAGTGCACAAGAGGCACTGCCCATCCTTCCTTTGGCTTCTCAAAGGAATTGCATCTCTACCTTACCCTTTAGGAAAATGAGGGTGAAAGAGCAGCACCTCACCGAGACCCTACCATGTCCTGTGGGTGTTCCGCTCTTGGTCTCAGACCTGTGTCCATCCCTCCTTTATGGTTTCCTAGGGACTCCCAGCCTGGCCTGACCTCCCACTCCATCTACTTTAAATGCCCTCTCCCCCAGCAAAGCTTAGACCCCAGAGGAGGACGAGCTGTCTTCTTCTTCTAACACCCCTGCCCCATCTACCTCCCACTTTCCTCCTTGCCTCTTCACACACAACCATCTCCAGAACCTTAAGATACTGATTACTTCCTGCTTACAGAGCTAGTTCTTCTCTGTGCCTACTAGATGTGCCTAGCCCCCTCCTGCCTTAGACTCATTCTGTCTCTTCATGTGAGGTGCAGATATCAGGTTTGCAGAAGGACTGCTACTCTCTGTCCCCTCCTTTGTCTATCATGACAGCTCCTGGGATGACTGGCCCAGCCCCATGGCTGCCTGCTCTACAAACTACCTGCCCTCCCTTCCTCAGGTCACACGTTCTGTGGACGCAGGACTGTCTGTCACCTTTTTTCCGTCTCTGGACCTGGGGTGCCTCACAGATCCTGTTTCTCCCCCAGAGTTGTGCAGGCTTGTGTTTTGATCTATGTGGCTGCCCAGTTCCATCACTCTCTCTGGGCCTGCCTTCCCTGGCCCTATTCCCTGCTGTCCAAGGTATCTGCTCAGGGCAAAGGTGCTGATATCTTAAGTGCTAACCCTGCTGTTTCCCACAGCCCTTGCAGATCGACGACGACTTCTGTGGGCAGGACTTCAACCAGCCACTGGGGGGCACGGTCACTATCGAGGGCACACCTCTTTTTGTGGACAAGGATGATGGCCTGACTGCTGTGGCTGCCTATGACTACCGGGGCCGCACTGTGGTGTTTGCTGGTACACGCAGTGGTCACATTCGCAAGGTCAGGCCTGTGTGGGCTTGGTGGGGGGAGGGTCACCCCTCCCTGGTGGGGGTTGTGCATGAAAGTCTTATCTGAGAAAGGGGCCAGTGGTCCTGTGACACGAGGCTGGGTCTGGTGCTCTGAGGTTACAGGGGCTTTCCAAAGAACAGCAGGGTGCATCCCTCTGTGCCAGGCCCAGTGACCTTGGAGGGCTCAGCTCTCCAAGAGCCTCTGAAAGACCACCCCTTCCTTCTGGGTCTCCCTTAGGAAGGTTTTCTACATCTTTTTGTTGTCTATCTTGGAATCCATGGGTGTGTGGGAACTTGAGGGGCCATCGCCTCCACTCTTCCCTGTGACTAGCTTTGTTCTGGGACACAACACAAGACCCTTCAGGCCAAAGTACAGAAGCCTGAGGCCCAGATAGTCTGGTTAGGGTACACAGTGACTGGGAAGGAGGCTTTTGTAGGTTGTGGGCTGAGTAGGCCTGTGTGGTCCCCTCCCCACTGGGCCTAGCTCCCAGCCCTCGGAGATCTAGTGTCTGCTGAAGCAGCACTTTGCCTTAGCCAGCCCTGCTCCCACCCACCTTGCAGCAGAGCAAGGCCAAGGTCAAGGACAGGGTAAGAGGAGTGCTCCACCCCCACCCACCACAGCCAGCAAGCAGGTAACTTGAGTGACCGAGGGCCCAGCTCAGGCCTCACGGTGAGGCTGGCTCTGTGTAGTGGCCCGTCTGATTTCTAGGCTCTTTTCCTCTCCAGGACTGATGGGCTAGGTGGGGCAGGGACGGCTTCCCCAGGTTGTGATCAGTGGACAGGGTCCCACCTGGTTGGAGGAAGCCCCCAGTGACACTGAAAGTTTTGATTGCCCTGTTACCCAGCAGGTCATTGAGAGGGGGCCAGGGGATGAAATAACAGCTAGCCGAGCACTTTTGCTGACATAGGCCTCTTCCTTCCTGCCTGCCTGCCCATGTACCCGTGGGTGAGACTGGGTCAAGGACCAGTGGGGCCTGCCTACCTGCACTCAGCCCCCAGCCCAGAATTCAGGAACCACATCCCAACTCTGCCTGGTCTGGGATCTTTGAGAAGTCCAGCTTCAGTGTCCTCATCTTGAGCTATGGTGCTGCTGGTGGTCTTGGGGCCATGGGACCTCAGCTGGTGGTTGAGGGGCCTCTGGGGTGGGTACCCTAGGATCCTGTGGGTACTGTAGATCAGGCCCCTGGCCAATGGGGACTGGGGACTGAGCAACTCACATCAGGCCCCTGCTACTTTTTGGAAAACCCGTGTGTCCTCAGAACTCAGTCACATTTCTGTGACTCCCAGGTGATATAGGTGTGACCTGTGGCTCTGGTGTGGCCCTTCTTCTCTTGCATGCACACTTATTTCTTCATTGAGGAGGCTCACAGGACTGGGTTGCCACTGAGAGGAGACGATGGGGTGTGTGTTGGAATGGGTCGTGGAAGATGGGGTGCAGTCAGCCTGGAGACAGTCCCATGAGGTTCCCTAGTGCCTGCTTCCCAGCTGGAGCTAGGATCCTGCAGCTGGGAGTGTCCCTTTTGATTGGACTGAAAGGGTGGCAGACAGGCCTAACTGAGGCTGGGAGAACAGGTCCCTCCAGTCCTGGCTTGCTTTGATGCCCCCTGGACCTCAGGGTCCCCTTTGGTTACAAGCCTTGGCTGGAGAGCTCAGCGCACAACTATTCCCGAGTCTTGGTTGACAGTGCTCCCACAAAGGGGAGACCAAGGCCTGGAGTGTGTAGCCTTAGAGATGAGCTTTGGCAATCCATGAGCTGGGGATGCCTTCAGCCTGGGGCAGCTGTGGATCAGCCCTTCCCTCCTTTCCTTTTTGCTCCCCTCTCTTACCTCTGCTCTCCCCCAGGCCAGAAAGGGTGGGTAGATGGGCAGGTGAGAGTGGAGTTCCTCTATTCCCTGGACCAGGACAGCCACTGGACAGTCCAACTGAGGAGCTAGTCCAAGTGCCTCAAACAGAGCTCCTTGTCCCCAGCCCAGAACCTGTATAACTGCCACACACATTGCCTCCCACCCCCCACCCCGGTCTTTCCCTGGACTCAGGTTCCTGGGTACGTCTGGGCTGGGTGTCCTGTGAAACTCTTGAGTGGATAGGGCCTATCTGGGGTCAACTCCCTGGGGGCTGTATTGGGAAGCTGAACCCACATTTTGTTTGGAGTGCTGCCGTTGAACCGTGTGCATGCTTTGCCCTTCAGGACATGGATGTAGTTGTGTCACAACTGACCCTGCCATCTGACCCTTTTCAAACCCCATCTACCTGTCTGAGTTGTGAGATCTCATGAAACAATTCAACAAGTATTTGTGTCTCATGGACCATCTTTTGTGAAAATGATGATGTTCCTGCAGTTTTGTTAGCTCTCATATCTGAATGTGTGACCACCAGCTGCATAGCCTCTCTGAGCCTGCTTTTCCCAGTACATCTCCAGAGCCTAACATGCTCTGTCTTGTTGTGGGCATGCATGGAGTACTCACATGGCTGACATCTCCGGAGGCCTTTCAAGAACCCCAGCATCTGTTTCACAAATTGGGAAACTGAGACACAGAGTAGCCATGACACATACCTAGGGTTTCTGACCTCAGGGCCCCTGCTACCTCCCCTCCTTGGTGGGTCCTTTGAGGGTGTGACTGGAACCTGGTAGGGTTCTGAGAACTGGGCTGTATGACTTCGTCCTCTTCTGCTGCCCATCCCTCAGCTCCTGACCCTCACAAACCTCAGCTGGGGTTGCTGTGGTGGCCTTTGAGATTGGGGTCGCCTCTATGTGGTACTCTCAAAGTCCTTCTTAGGAATAGGATGGAGTCCCCTCCACCTGACCTGGCTGTAGGACTGCCTGGAGCTCCCATGCTGGGCCGGGGGTCTGGCCCAACCCCAGGCAGCAGGATTCCCACAGCCCACACCTCCTGGGTCATGGCCCAGCTGGGTGAGTAACTGGCCATGGTCCCATTCAGGCCAGTACTGGCCCACTGTCTGTGGACTGCAGGCCGCCTCCTGCATCTGGGCCCTTGGGTGGCTTCATTAGCCCTCCTCTTGTCTCCATCTAGGCTCCTCCCACCCCTAAGGCTGCTAGGCCTGGTTCCACTGACTGCACAGGGATGTCCATGGCCCCACCTCCTGCCTGCTGTCTGCACTGGGTCTTGGAGCCTGAACCCTGGGGACCCCAGACCATCACCTGGCCCAGGACAGCCTGCTGGGCTGGCCCCTCCCCTCTTTCCCATGCCTGGGCCTTCCAGGGCTTTAAAAAGCATCTGGGGAGCTCCAGAGACTTGGTTGGCCCCAGGCCAGGCCCTGCCAAACGTGTTGTTGTGTAAAATTGTAGCGATTAATTTAAGCCCTGCCAACTTCAGCTGCTCAGGACTGGCTGGAGGTGCCCCTCCTTCCCCAGAGCCCTGCCTGCCTACTTGCCCCTCCCCCTATCGAGGCCATCTCTGGAATGCCCCTCCAGATTCCCCACCTTGGGCCTCAGAACCCCAGCCCTATATGAGGCACCCCCACAGCCTCCAAGGAACCTGTTCTGGTCAGAGTTCCCAGTTACAACCCTTGTGTGGGTCCTACAGGGCAGACTGGGTACCTATGCAAGGGTGGACTCCTGCCAAGTGGATGCCCCAGGCTACTGCTAAGCTAGGGAAAAAAGGTGCCCCAGTCCAGTGTCACCCTGTGACTGTTGCTGCAGGGACTAGAAAGTAGGCCCAGCTAGGCCCTCTGGTAAGCTTGCCAGGTGGAGTACAGCCTGCCTGCCCAAGTATCCAGTTTTTCAAGAAAATCTGGGTACCTGTGTTTTTTCTGTGTGTGTGAGAAGACTCAGTTCAAGGGTTGTAGCTAATCTATGTTTTCAGAAAGCCCATCTAGTGTGCCTATGGACCACTAGGTTGGGGACAGGGACCTGCACTGTGGCATTGTACAGCCTAGGAAAGGTATCACAGGCCTGTGGGTATGTGAGGGCTGAAGGAGGGTGCCAGGTATCACCCACCTGCACTGGGGCCAGTTGGGAGCCCTGTCATTGAGGAGTCCTATGTTGGCCAACCCCTCCTCTCCTAGAGACAAGAGGAGGGCTAAGGAAGCCGCCCTGCTTCCCAGTGAGCTGTTTAGAGAGCCTTGGAACAGGCTGGGGACTAGACTGTAGTGTCATGATTATAACAAAGGACCACCATGCCCTCTTGCTGTCTCCTGCTGCAGTCTTCTGGAACAGAGGTGTAGTTATAGTGCTCAGTGCCCCACCAGTGTGCATACAGGCGGCCTGCAGGGCTGTGCCCTGTAGACCCTGCTGACCCGCCTCCTAAGCCTGAGAGATTGAGTTAGTTGCAGAGGGGTGGGCATAGCTCTGCGCAGTACATCTGAGGCCTGGACCTGGAAGCCTCCAGCCAGCTTCCTCAGCATTTCAAGTACTCCAGATCAGCCCTTTGTAGGTGGCTCTGCTTGCTGCTTCCAGAGCTTGCTGCTGAGGCAGAGCCTGTGCCTAACTGCCTGGGGACAAGCAGCCCCACCTGCTGCCTCAGGCCCTTGACCTTGGATGCCTCCAGCTTGCCTTAGGTGCCTCTGCACCCATCCTTGCTTACAGATAGGTCTGTGCCCTGGGTGTCCTGAGCACCCATAGTGGTGCTCATAGTGGGTGGCTCACTGGAGGTCACACCACTGGTACTCACATTCTCTATAGCCCCTCCCAGGTTCTACCCATCCCCATCCCCCGGACCTGGCTGACCTCTTCTGGGCTGTTGTTGGGAACTTCTCAGGGCTGAGTTCTTAGTGTCATTCCTTTGTTTCCATCACTCAGCTTCCTCAGTAAGGCTCTTCCTGACACTGTGCCAGGCTGTGGCCTGTTCTGGCTCCATGTGCTGCATACTATGTGTGCCACATGCAGGTGGAGCAAGTGGTCTTCTGCTTGATGTGTCATGCTGTTTTGTGCCACTCTGCTCTATGCACTAGGTCTTTGGGACATAGCGTTCTGACAGGTGGGAAGAAACTGCTGGGTTTCTGGTCTTGATCTTCTGACTTCTGGGATGATAC